ACAAAAGTCTCAGACTGGGGTCGACTAAACTTAGTCCAATTCAACCCCAATAAGACACAACTTTGCACGATATCCGCAAAAAAGTCCCCATTTGTCGTAACTGCTCATTTTGAGAACACTCCCCTGTCTGCCACAGCTAGTATCCGAAATACTTGGTGTCGAAATCTCGAGCAATGTCCAGTTTCGCGGTCAATTGGAAATTAAGGCCAAATTGGCCTGAAAGAAGCTCGGTATACTAAGCAAGGAGAGACAGTACTTCACGTCGGCTCAACGCCGAAACCTTCTTAAGGCACAAATTCGGCCCCACATGGAGTACTGCTCTCACCTCTGGGCGGGAGCCCCTATTACCATCTTCTTCCATTTGACCGCATTCAACGTAGGGCAGCTTGGGTTATCGCCAATCAAAGTATTTCCGATCGACTTGATCCTTTGGCTCTGCGTAGAGATATTAGATCACGCTGCATCTTATACCGCATCTATCACGACGAGTGTTCCGAGGAATTATTTCGATTGATCCCGGTGGATTGAATTTCACCATCGGACATCGCGCCAGAACCAAAAATTTCATCCACACCACCTCGATGTCCAGCATTCCACAACAGCTCGATTTTCAAAGCATTTCCTACCTCGCACAACCACATTGTGGAACCAGCTGCCGCCGGCGGTATTTCCGAATCTTTACGACCTGGGAACATTCAAGAAGAGAGCATACGCATTCCTAAAAGCCGGTAACGCATTTGTAAGCCGTCTGGCGTTGCAGGTGTCCATGAACGGCAGTAATCACTTACTATCAAGTGAGCCTCCTTCTCGATTGCCGCTTTTTTCCCATAAAAAAATGTTTATGGATTCTTGACTCATATTTTGGTTCTTGCGTTTTTATACGAAATGACCAAAATATGAGTCAGGAATCGATTGCCCATCGAAAAAATTCTATTAATTAACTAACTAGTTTTGAATTAGTACAATAAGTAAGTGAATTTGTACTAATTATCACGTGATATACGGACTTTTCGGTTCGAGCTTTAAACAGGGTTTAAATGTGTCAGTGAATTCGGTTAACCATTTTTTTAAAAGAAAGCATGTGACAAACCTTCAAATTCATGTTCATAGTTTGCTAACAGAAACGCGAACAGCTATTCGTTATGTTTTGGTTTATATTAATTATTTCAAAGCTATTCCATTGTCTATGATACTATTAATAAAATATTGTAATCCACTCAGCCATACTAAAAATCGTAATAAAAACAGGTCTCTTACTTCAAATGAAACCACTTATATCTGTGTCAATAGTCAGTCATGTACTTCTGTCAGTTCAATGTTTTAATTTTATCACTTTCGCAATTGTTCATACATACCACTCCTTTTGAATTTAAAAGTTGTTTCTTTAAGTTATGTGGTGGTGCTATAGAATCGTTAAGAAAACTAAGAGATGACATTAAATGTTATCTTAGTGTATCGAAATGCAAATTAGATTCAAAAAAGCAAGCCTTCAAAGATTTCTATACACAATTTTTTAATGGGATAACAGGAAAACTGATGGGAAATATGACAAGAAATATTTTTCAATTTGGAAAGATCAAGAATATCACGAAGATTACAAGAAGAATTCTAATGCCATCAGATGCAGAAAGACGACGTTCCAGAAACTATACGCTGGAATCATTTCAAAAATTCTTTACAGCTGAAATTGTAAATCTTAATGGTTTTAATGCAGAAGTGCATACTGTCATAACGCCGGATGGATATATTTTAACAGTTCACAGATTACCTCCAATGAAGAGAAAAAAAAGTACCAAAAAGAGAACAGCAATTTTACACCATGGCTTATTAGGCAGTTCTACGGATTGGGTTTTATTAGGTCCAAATTATTCTTTACCTTATCTTTTGGCTAATGAAGGTTATGATGTTTGGCTAGCTAACGCTAGAGGTAATAAATATTCGAAAGCTCATGTTAACAAAAGTGTGCGCACTTCTGAATTTTGGGATTTTTCTTGGCATGAAATTGGATTGTATGATCTGTCGTCCATCATTGATTACGTAAAAGAAAAAACTTTGGGTAAATCTCAAATATTTTTTGTAGCTCATTCTATGGGCGCTACTGCTCTAATGGTTCTTTTATCTACATCTCCGCAATATAACAAGATATTAGATTTAGTTATACTACTCGCTCCGCTCGTTTATATGCAGCAAGCAAAAGGACCATTAAGACTTCTATCAGAATTCCAAAATTTAGACTATAACGCCACCATAAAAATTTTGGGAGGAGATCGTTTTAACCCTTCGGAATCATTTATAAACATCCGAATGCGAAAATTCTGTAGAGGTGATAGAAGGCTGTGCCGTAATCCGCTATTTCTGTTTTCGGATGGGGGAAAATCGATATCAAACAGTAAACATTTGGCTAATATTTTGACACATGTGAAAGCAGAAGGTTCCGTTAAAACATTAACACATTATGGTCAACTTATAAACAGTGGACGGTTTGAAATGTATGATGGGGGTTCGACTGTCAATATTAAAAGGTATGGAACGGCATCACCACCAAAATATCATTTAAAAGACGTTAAATTGCCAGTAGCACTTTTTAGTTCTCATGATGACTGGCTTTCGACTGTTCCAGATATTATAAAATTGTTATCTCGACTCCCAAATCCCGTAACGCATCATATAGTAGAAAAAACTGAAACGGAATTTAATCATCTTGACTTTGTTTGGAGCCGGGATGCTCCAGAATTAGTTTATAAATTTATTTTCGATGTAATGGATCAGTATTAAATAAACTTTTATTTATGATCCCAGTATTTTTATTGTCACAAAACCTTGATTCTAGCTGTTTTAAGATAAAAGTTTGTTAATGGATAGTTTAAACATGAAGGGATAAAGATATATTGCCGATCATTAAAAAAACCGGCCAAGTGCGAATCGCACTCGCGCACTAAGGGTTTCGTACCAAATACAGCCTGGTGAAATACGGACAGACAGACAGACAGCGGTCTTAGTAATAGGGTCCCGTTTTACCCTTCTAAAAGAAAAACCCGTATGTGCAATTCAAATGTATATGAACTTTATAACTGACGTTATCCCCTTATATTAGGATTTTTTATACAGGGTGATTTCTTAGACGAAGTAAATACTAAGTATTCTTCTTCGAAGAAGATATAAAGCGACTAAAACGGAAACAATTTTTTTAAATTGTTAATAATAATACCAACAACAGATCCTCCACTACACGTGTCATTTATTGTCAGTACAGAGACCGGAACTAGGTTCTTGATTTCCCGCGTGGGCAATATGTGGTGTAGGCCGCAAACTCTACACACCACAAATGTATCATCGCTTTTCCGCGATGATTTGAAAATTTAAAACTTTTTTTATCCATAATTTCTTAATTAAGTAATTCAATGAAAGTGTGCTTTTGATTTTTTTTTAAGCTTTGAGCAAGCTTCATCATCGCTGGTAACAAGGGTACATTAATAGTTGTTAAGAAATATAATGGCTGGCAAGCACTGACCTGGACTGTCCTCAGTTGCCGTCGTCGACCCGGGCCTGGTGTAGATAATCTTCTGGCCTGATACGTCCACGACTTCCTTTTATCCACAGGTTCGGTAGAGGAACTGACTTAGTATTGAATTTGGAGCAAGGGAAAAAAGATATGGGGTTGGCCAAAACGTATTAACGTTAGCCGATCGCGCACGTAATCTTGTTCGGAGTTAAAACGTAAGTGAAAGGTCAATTGGTCAAATGAATTGCGGGTGTCGTTGCAATAACAGACGTTGGGTTCAAATTTTGAGTGCTTGCCAGTAAGAAAAAAAAAGAAGGAGGGTTAAGTGAATATTATGAAATTTTTTTACTTCCAAATTATGCTGTTTTTAGATTCCTAAACGTAAGAAGAAAAAAAAAAACAATATTTAAATATTGAGTAATATACTCTGTACGCAACATGCCGCTCACCTTAAAAGTACATGCGTAACTTTTAAAAAATCTTTTGTCGAAGGGAAATAAAAGAAAGTTATTAAAAATGTTATGTTAGAGACTATAATATTGTACATATATATTATATTGTTAAGATACCATAAGTTACTAATATTAAAATTAAAATGATATAAAAATTTATTCAATGGGTAGAGGACAAATTTTGATGACAGGTCGTTTTAAAAGGGTTTTACCCACTTGGAGTGTTACAACACGGGTTACGCCGTCGGAGCCCGGATGAAGGCAGTGCACACGTGCGAGTCTCCATTGTAGAGGAGGGAGGTTATCGTCGCATATTACTACAATCATGCCTTCACGAATCGGGTTTCCACGATCAGTGAACCACTTACCGTGTTGTTGTATTTCATGCAAATATTCTAAACTCCATTTTTTCCAAAAATGTTGGACGTGTTGTTGAATTAAACGCCATCGGACTAATCTGCTTGGATTATCGTCAACGAGGGAAACGTCCGGGATAGCCGTTAATGGTCCGCCTATTAAAAAATGTGCCGGAGTTAAGGGCAGAGGATCCTGCGCGTCGGCGCTTAACACGCAAAGGGGTCGCGAATTTAATACTGCCTCTATTTGACATAAAAGAGTATGCATCTCGTCATAGGTTAATGTACGAGAACCTACTACCCGATGAAAGTGATGTTTGAAACTTTTGACGCCTGCTTCAAAAAGTCTAGCATATGGCGGTTGAAAATGCCATGTTATCCCTTCCTCAAGAACCTTGTTTTGTAACGTGAGTTGTGTAGTATCATTTCGTAAGAAAGTATACAAGTCCTTAAGGTATCTGTCACATCCGATAAAATTTTTGCCACAATCAGAATATATGTCTGTGCATAGACCTCGGCGAGACGTAAAGCGTCGTAATGCCGCTAAGAAACCCTCTGTTGAAAGTTCCGAAACTGTTTCGAGATGTATAGCCTTAACGCACATGCATACGAAAACGGAAACGTAACATTTTATGACTTTAGCATTTCGTACCTTATTTGCTCAGACGTAGAACGGACCTGCAAAATCTACGGCAGTCTTAAGGAATGGGCGTTCGGGTTGTAAACGCGCGGCGGGCAGCGGACCCATGCTTGGTTGCGGACGCACGGGACGCGCCCGAAAGCACCGTACGCATCGGTGTATGCGTTGCCGTATAACGTCACGCCCTGATAAGATCCAATACTTTTGTAGAAGCAAATATTGAGTGGTTTGCGCGCCTGCATGTAAATGAGATATGTGAGTGTTACCGTAAATAATTAAAACCGTTAAAGGATGTTTCTTTGGCAAAACTAATTGATGTTTCGAATCAAAGGGTAAAAGCGACTTATGAATTCTCCCGCCTACACGTAGGAAATTATTGGAATCGATAAAAGGCCTTAAACGTCGTAGTTGGTTCGATGGAAGTTTTCCTTTCGATAGGTTAGAAATGTCATCACGGAAAACGGAATGTTGGACAATAAGGACAAGTCGATTTAAAGAAAAATTATATTCAGACACAGTAATATGCCTGGGAAAAGCAGTTCGAACTTTCTTACATATTTTATAGAAACGAAATAACAAAGATGTGACTCTCACCAGCTTACCTAGAGAAGAAAAACGTGAGATAATAAATCTACTTCTTCGCTAGCGAGAGTAGAAGTACTTGTACATGGGTTCGATATAATCGCAATGTTGCGTCTTTCTTCTTGGGTATTGTATGACGCCTTGGTAGTGGGCCAGAAAACCTCATTTTCTTGTAAAAAACGAGGTCCACGAAACCAAATATCGTGTTGTAGAAAATTGGCAGGAAGCATACCGCGTGAAGCCCCGTCCGCTGGGTTATATGCAGATGGAACATGACGCCAATGACAATACGGAACATTGTTTATGATTTCAGTTATCCGATTGGAGACGAAAGTTTTCCACTCGTGTGGAGAAGAATGCAGCCACGCCAAAACTACAGATGAATCCGACCACGCATAGACCTTATCCCGGCTTACGTGACTGCCATAGATATTTAAAACTGTTTTTAGCAGCCTCGATAGCAGTAGTGCTGCCATGAGTTCTAGACGAGAAATTGATACACGTTTAGTAGGTGCCACACGTGTTTTGGCTAGGAGTAAGTGAGTGTCTACCAAGCCGTTTTCTCCTTGTACGCGGAGATAGACGCAAGCTGCATACGCTTTCTCAGAAGCATCCGAAAAACCGGGAAGTTGGACGGTGGAAGTATGAGAAAACACATGACGCGCAAAACAACTTGGGATAAGAGTGGCAGCTCTATGGTAAAACTGTTCCAGGAATTTTCTATGTGTTGTGGCGGTGTTTCATCCCAATTCACACATGCTATCCATAGCAACTGGATCAGGTGTTTAGCGTAAATAGTTACTGGAGATAAAAACCCAAGTGGATCATATATTCTAGCGATTTCAGAAAGAATAGAACGCTTAATGAGTTTCGGTAAGATTAAAGCGTTAATTTGAACAAAGGGTAATATTTTATTTTTTGGCGTAATACAACACGAAACTAAGCCCTTGGGGTAAACAGGTCTCTTTTCATTAATCCCGTAAACGGGGGGAATGTTTACATATTTTCTTATTAACCCCAAACGTTGTGCGCACGATTCACTGATAAAGGAAACCTGACTCCCCGAATCTATAAGACAACGTACAGTCGACCGTCTTTGATTATTTACGTGAACATCGACGAGCGCTGTTGACAATAACACTGTACTCGTTCGTACGGATGGGGCAGAATGAGACAGCGCGCCTGCGTCGCAAGTTTTGTGATTGATCGACGTCATAACGAGCGGAGTGTCGCTTAAAGTGGCGGGGGCGCACGCTGTAGGAGCAAAAGAGACTGAGCAATCGTTTTGCGGAGACGTCGCCTCAGTCGCACCCACATAGGATCGATTATCGACGTGAATCAGTGTATGATGACGTTTATCGCACGCACGGCACACAAAACTAGATTTACATTGTTTAACATCGTGTCCTACGTGTAAACAATTAATGCAGATGTTTTTACCAGTGATAAACGTATACCGTTCGTTTGGAGAAAAATTCAAAAACTTTGGACATTTTGTTAACGTGTGTTTAGCGTCACACCATATGCATTGAAAATATTTAACCGTTTTAGTTTGATTCTGATTGTATGCAGACTCTGATACAACCTGTGGAGTAATATTGGTCCCAAATGCGCGCCGCGAGCCCGATGCTGTTGTTGTGTTGCTGCCGCTGTTAGGTGTTGCTGCGCTTGGTTTTAAGTGACCCTCATGATTAATATGACCGAAATTCGAATTGGACAGTTCGCGTTCTAAAAAGGAAATAAATGTGTCGATATCGGGAATTTCCGATGGTGATTTTAATGACAATTCGAAACGTTTGCGAATAGATGACGGGATTTTGCGTAGTAAAATCGTTAACAAAATAAAACTCCATTCTTTAGTGGGAAACGTCATAGCTTCAAGTGCTTTTAGGTTTTCTTGATACGTGTTTAATAAGTTGCGTAAACTAACTGTTGATTTCTCGGAACATGATTCGACATCGAGGATTTTGTCAAGATGAGTGGACGCTATAACTCTTATGTTTTCATAACGCGAAACTAATATTTGAAAGGCTATAGTATAATTGGCGTCGGTAATGGGAATAGATTTAAACAAATTATATGGTTCATTTTTTAACGTAAGCAATAAATATCTAAACTTTTCCGCATCCGTGTAGGCATTATTGTTATGTACAAGTGAAATATACAAATCATAAAATGAATTCCAGTCAGTACTGTTGCCCGAAAAAGTGGGTAAAGGAATTTTTGGTAACTTTGCATTATGGGATTGTGAGAGCGATTCACAATTAAATGACCTACTCATTCGTCTGCATTGCTCATCATCCTGCTTTAGTTTGCTTAAATGAGTTACTATAGCATAGTACGCGTCATCAAAATCGTTACGAATTTTTATTTGTTCTTCTTTGTTGAACAGTTTTGTTTTCATTAGACATTTTTCGATTTTTGTTTGCAATTTACTAAACTTTCTTTGATGTACTGTAAGGTCTTTTGTTCGCGAACGGAATTTATTCTCATCTGTCGTTGCGAACTGTAAAGTTCTTTTTAAATCATCTAATATAATATCACGTTCGAACATATCTTGCTCGCATGAAACATCACACATGAGTTGTTCATCTACTGCAGGGTTCGGCATTTTGTGTAACAAAGATGGCCTATCCGACACGTAGGTGAAAAGTACGTAGGTACGAAATTAAAAAATGTGATAAATGGAGTAATAAATACTAAGACAGCACGATCTGGAAGTAAGGATCCGGTTCTAAGGACCAAATTTTATGTTAAGAAATATAATGGCTGGCAAGCACTGACCTGGACTGTCCTCAGTTGCCGTCGTCGACCCGGGCCCGGTGTAGATAATCTTCTGGCCTGATACGTCCACGACTTCCTTTTATCCACAGGTTCGGTAGAGGAACTGACTTAGTATTGAATTTGGAGCAAGGGAAAAAAGATATGGGGTTGGCCAAAATGTATTAACTTTAGCCGATCGCGCACGTAATCTTGTTCGGAGTTAAAACGTAAGTGAAAGGTCAATTGGTCAAATGAATTCCGGGTGTCGTTGCAATAACGGACGTTGGGTACAAATTTTGAGTGCTTGCCAGTAAGAAAAAAAAAGAAGGAGGGTTAAGTGAATGTAATGAAATGTTTTTACTTCCAAATTATGCTGTTTTTAGATTCCTAAACGTAAGAAGAAAAAAAAAAACAATATTTAAATATTGAGTAATATACTCTGTACGCAACAATAGTTAACATTGATTATTGCATATTAGAAGAAGGAATTGTATAATCAGCATGGGATCGTATCATCAATAAAATTAAACATAGGCCCGAACGTACCACAACTGCAAGACAAGATCCAATTAGCACCTTCTGCATAGATCGGACACAAAACTAATAATTTAAAAACTGACGGTAGCCCGGGTTAACGCTGTAAAGGTTTCTAAACGACGGGTATAAATTTACAATGTAAAATACTTTCATTTATGGTTCTTCCTTCATTTACTTGGAATACTATATATAAACGTGATATATATATATATAGTTATCCGTTCTAGGAGTTGTTTGATCCACCGTTACGTATTGTCGTCAATTGTCATGTCGACAAAAATAGCATTACGTTTTTTAATATTTTAATATATTCTTTCTTTTGTCTCCCATAACCTAGTCTCAATAATTTTTATATAAACTTATAATTTATTTCAATTTGCCTTTATATGCTTCGTTAATTTTTAAATTAAGTGTGCCCCTTTTTGCCATTCTCCATTAATCCAATTTTCCTTGAACTAAAACAGTCTTGCGTAGCAACTCCTTACCCTTGAATTTTTGTGCGATGAGAATCCACTCGTTACTTACGATTGGATTAAACTATTTGTGCCTACTATCAAAAATTCCTTTTGTTAAACAGTGAAAGGGAAAATTCCTCGAAATGGTAACTCAAATAATGGTAACTCTTTCAACGGCTACACCGTCCTAGATTTACTTACTTTACAAATATATATGTTTTTAATTTATAAACTTAATGTTTGTTTTTATTCACAATAATTGATTAAAACGTGGTGAGTATGTGAGGTCCTTAAAGAAAAAAATACAAAGGCAAATAAAAAAATAAAAATGTGTATGATAAAAATATTGCAATGACACTAAAATAATAATAATTATTATGCTAAGGTAAAACGTACATTTCTCAAAAAACTAATCTACAGCCATCACTAGCGTAACAAATGTATCGCAGCTGCATTCCCCTCATTTATTGCTAAATAAAACATTAAATATTGCTATTCCAAAGCGTGGGGTGGCGCATCAATGGTCGTACGAATACGGCTATTTATACAGATTCGAAAAGAAGACAAATTAATTGCATAGCTTTTATTTAATTTTTCTTACTTCATAAAAAATCGGGTTAACATAGTCGTGTTTGCCGTACTTTTCACCTCCGCATATTTACATTATATAGGTAATAAATGTTTTAATCTATCTACTTTAGAACGCCAACGGATAGGGTTTAGTAAATTTCAAGTGTTACTTAATGTAAAGCAAATAATAACTAATACGAAGTTATTTGGTTTTTCTAAAGATACTTCACCAACGTTCGGACGTGGAATTTATTAAAATACATTTGATTTTTCAGTTTGCACCTAATAAATTAGAAAATTATTCGTTTATTTTTGTAATGTTATAATAGGTTTCGTTTTAGACAGATGCTAAAACTATGGCTTCTCGGCTGCGGATCATAGTTAAATTCTTGCCTAGTTTTTAATTTGTAATGAATTGGCTAAAACAACACAATAAAATGTTCATTCGTTGATGTCAATCGTCGTCAATCATTCTTTGAATGATTAGTACGTAGCCATGACAGCCTATTGAAAAATCCGGCCAAGTGCGAGTGGGGGGTCACGCACGAAGGCTTCCGTACGAATATCTATAAAACGGCAACAAAAAAAATCACAAAAATAATTCCGGATAATTTAAATTTTTAATATATTTTTTTTAATTTTTTTTAGTTTAAATTGAGCGAAGAAATGTAAATAAATCGTCTATATATTTATACGTGAAACAAAAACTTTGTACCCTTTTTACGAAAATTGCGCGGACGAAGGAATATATTTCCCACACTTATAGTTTATATAGAAAGTGAGAGAGTTTTTCTTTAATTATGTATTTAACATAAATCAATAAAAAACATTACGCACATTACAATTATGGTCGAATTTCGAAAATTGGGCGACCACTAGTAAAATTAATTCGTCATAACACACACAATTGATTTCAACTTCCAATTCTGTGCAATGCTTAAGCAATTTAAATCCCCCAGTTGTAAGTAATATG